CCCTAAAGAATGTTGATGGGATCTGGATTGGGATTGCATTGAATGTATAGATTGCTTTGGGTAGAACTGACATTTTCACAATGTTCAGTCTTCTTGATCTGGTTTTTGATCCCAACATGACTACAAAAGGAGCCCTAGTGGCGCATTGGTTAAGCACTCAGCTATGAAACAAAAGATCAGCTGTTTGAACCTGCTAGCCACTTCATGGGAGAAAGATGTGGCAGTTGGCTTCTGTGAAGATTAAAGAAAAATCTTACGGGGCAGTTAAACTCTGCTATAGGGTCGCTATGAGTCGGAATTGATGCAGTGGTATTGGGTTTGGTTTTCTGGTTTGGTATGACTACAATTAATATTTGTTGAATTGAATTAACAGGTAACTAAACAAATCAGTGTTGTGGCTGAATTTCTCAGAAGTGTATGTGTGTGTGTGTTTTTCAATATAGAGAACAAACCTCACAGCCAGCCACTACCCTCGGATGTTGCAGTGATCATGTACACAAGTGGATCCACTGGCCTTCCAAAGGGGGTCATGATCTCCCACAGTAACATCATTGCTGGTATAACTGGGATGGCAGAGCGGATTCCAGGACTGGGGTACGTCATAGTAAACCAGTGTTTATCTCTGTTGTTGTGTTATCATTGTGTTAATTTTGTAGTCTATAGTTAAATTACTCCTCAAAGTCTGCTTATGGTAGTCATTTCATTAAAAAAAAAAAAAAAGACATTAAAATTAAGCACAAACTAGTTATGAGATTTAAAACTGTTGATTAAAGATATCATTGTTAAAATTTACTTTTTATTTTGAAAATGCAAATTTTAAGTGACTGTAATTGGAAATTCTTTAAATTACTGAGATCAGTTGGTGGTAGTGCCCCTGTAGTTATTTTTATATCTAACTGTGTTACCTTTTAGGTGAGTAAATACTGTATCCACTAAGTGCTTCCTGAACTTCTGTATTTACAGTCTTTAATATTTTTAAAGACAAACTCCAGCAGTAGCACGGGTGGGCATATTCAGGTGGCTATGAGAGTGATGGAGGAAGCCATATAGGAGTTGAGTGGGAAGGACTGTGAAGGAAACTTTCTCTGAAATGGAATCAGTGCCTGGTGACTGGTCTCATCTGGTGCAGTGGATTGGAGTATTTTGACTCCCTTATGCACAGAAATTATACATTCTGTTTTTTTAGGATGGGGTAGTGTGGGTTAAATTTGGGCATAGAGAAATTTCTGCTTATGTGTGACTTTCAGAAATAATGATGAGTAGCTGTTTCCTGCAGGTTTGCCTCAGTTGCCTCATACATTTTGAGGGTGGGGCAGGTTGTTCAAATATGTGCATGTATATACACATTTTCTTTTAAAGGTAATTTCTTTTAAGATAGTTTATTATCTATAATTTAACCCAACTCTAAGTACAGGGATTTCCTCTGTGAAATTCTGGGCAGACAGTTGGGACTGTTGGACTCCTTTGGTTAGTAGCCCGCTGGCTTTGAGGACCATTTCCTCTGTGGATGATTTTGTCTGTCCTTCAGAGGAATGCTTCATATTTTGCCCTGTCCTTTCTGGCCTGAGAGGAGCCCAGGTGGCATAGGGGTTGACACTTGTGGCTCACGGAAGGGGGGGTGGCTTGAATCCAGCAACAGCTCCCGGAGAGGAAGGCGTGGCACTTGGTCTTTGGTTGCAGTTACTCTTGCTTGCGGCAGCTTCTCACGTCTCCCTGTTCTTAGAGAGGAAGATGTTTACGTTGGGTACTTGCCTCTGGCCCACGTTCTCGAATTAAGTGCCGAGCTTGTCTGTCTGTCCCACGGATGCTGCATTGGCTACTCTTCACCACAGACATTAGCTGATCAGGTGAGTGAACTGTCTGTGGCTTGAGGTGCACAGCAACTGTTGTTGTTCTCCTTTTTTTTCCTGCCAGCATGACAGTGTATTGTAAGAGTGGCAGTTGCTCATTTTAAAATAAGCATGCCATTTTTGTACTTATTCAAATACAAATAAAATGATGAATTTATACTATGCTCTTTGATCTAAGAATTTCATTGAATTTAAAAAATAATGATCACGTGTGGATCTTTTTCTGTCTCTTTATATAGTCATCAAAAATAAAAAAAGGAAGCAAAGGGGATACATCTGTGTTGAAACCAACACTCATGGCAGCTGTCCCGGTAAGAATGACTGTTACTGGAGTATTAGAGAAGTCTCATTTACTATAGAACATTAATGCTAGTGGAAAGTGTCAGGTAGTTGAGGTATTTTTGTAGGATTTATTCCTTATTGATTCTCTCTGTTGCCTTAAGCCGTACAGGATTTATTTGATTTTGATTTAACTTTATTTTTTTATCTTATTGAACATTCAGTTTAGTTTCAGTGTTCATGTGTACTATCCACTCCTTTCCCTAAATAGCTTGTTAAAATCATTTTCATGTGATCTGTTTGCCAATGAGTAGAAACCTGGCCTAGACACCAACAAAAGTGGCAAAGAATCTGGTACAACTTTGAATTGCCTGAGAAGGGCTGCACGTCCTAACCCAGCTTGGGGAGATGGGGAACAGGAGGAGTGAGAGCAACGGTTTCCTGGCTTCTCCAGTGTGGCTTTACAGTCATAGGGCTTCCTGATTTTGCTTGAAAAGTATTGGGGATTCTTTTATTATCAGATACGTGAGTGCTCATGTTTAAGCATAATTACATAGTTATTCCAGAGCCAGAGGTAAGTGTTCAGTCAGCAGCTTTGGAGTTTCTGTAGGTATAATTAGAGTTTGTTAGGGAATATCCTACTTCAGATCTTTAGTTCACTTAAAAATTGCATGTCATTTAACATAGAGGGAAAAAATATTTCTAGTCCTTAAAGTCTACTTGATTACAGTAAACCTAGCAAGCAAAATGTAATGCAGACAAGAGAATTTCCTGGGTATAGCATTAAAACACAAATCCCATGGTCTTTCTGTGAGCAAAGAATGTGGTCAGCCTGTATGTTTATAAGATAAAGTAGTGAGATTTTGAAAACCATCTTAGATAGTTGTTCATTTATTTAGTGTTCAGAATAAATAAGAAAGGAGCAGAGTATTGTAAGAAATCATAATGGTCTATTGCTTCCCTATGGCCTTTGTTTCTGTTATTTCTTAATATTTTTATCTAGATATATTACTTTTGCTATCAAAACAATTTGTGTTTATAGAGTTCTTATCTAAACTAATTGTGGCTTTATTTTAAAAAAATTTATCTTGATAGAATAGATCTTTATTTAAGAAAAGTCTTAATAATGATAGAAATACAAATCAGATGAGATATGAAAGGCAGCAGAGATTGTCATTAATTAACACACGTTTACATATCTAGGAAATCATGGATCGGATCTACAAAAATGTCATGAATAAAGTGAATGAAATGAGTAGTTTTCAACGCAATCTGTTTATTCTGGCCTATAATTACAAAATGGAACAGATTTCAAAAGGGCACAGTACACCACTGTGTGACAGGTAGGAATAGGTCTCTCTGTTTCTCTTGTTGGTGGCCTCGTAGGTGAAGTAGTTACAAGAAAGAAATTTATTTTAAAAAGTTAAAAGGACTCCTTAAAAATCCGTCTTGCATAAGAATATGGGCAGTGTTTTAAAAATCGGTGTTATTTGAAAAAAATGTTTCACTTATGATTTTGCAGCATTTAATAGTGTGCCTGTATTTTCTGTGAACACTTACATGATTTTAATTACTTGGAGAAATCATTTTACTTTGCTTTTAAATTTATTTCAGTGTGAACATAAAATGGCAACCAAATGTGATAAATTGTTTGCATTTAAATTTTAACCAGTTTTACCCCAGACTTGTTATTTTTGTAATGCTGACAGATTAAGTAGATTTAGTATTTTTTTTTTATAAAATAGTTTAGAAATGAGAAAGTTTATGATACACATTTTTTAAAGCAAATACTGATACTTCGCATTATTCAGAATTTCGTAAGTTTTTCCCTGGCTTATTTTTAGTTATCTCTCTAGCCGAGATACATCATCTGCCTTAGAAAGTTTGCTGATGCTGCATTTTTAACTTATAGGTAGAAATACCATATGATCCAGCAATAGCACTTCTAGGTAAATACCCTAAAGAAGTAAGAGTTGTGACATGGGTAGATATATCCACAGCCATGTTCATTGCAGCATTTTTCACAATAGCAAAAAGATGGAAACAACCTAAGTGCCCATCCATGGATGAAGGGATAAACAAACTGAGGTACATACACATAATGTAATTCTAGGCAATGATAAAGAATAATGACAAATCTGTGAATATTTTACAACATGGGTGAATTTGGAGGACATTATGCTGTGTGAAATAAGTCATTCACAAAAGGACAAATGCATGCAACCTTTATTATTAATAAGAAAGAAAAAGTTTACACATGTACACAAAAAAAATTCTTAAATGATTACCCAGGGATAGGAGTGGGAAGGCAGGAAAATGACCAATTAGATAGAAGGCACATGTTAATAGTGGTGAAGGGAAAGACAATACACAGTATAGGGGAGTCAGCACAGCATGACTGAGGCAAAGGAGGGCACTGACAGGAACATGGGAATGAAGGACAGCTAGGGTAATGACTTAACATAGGCAGTCCTGCAGCAGTAGTGTTAACAAACAGTGATTCCCAAATGGCTACAGAGGTGTGCTAAAGTGGTGTGGGAGGGTGGAAGGGAGCACACCCACCTGCAGATACAGGTTTGGCTGTGGATATTTGTACACACATAATTGTAGCGCTGCATGTATATTAACATAGACAATAGAACACACAAAGGGCACAGTCATGGAAACTTCTTGGGCATAACCAAGCACCTTGTGGGACAAAGTTCCTGGACTCAGAGTTGAAGGAGCAGAAACTTGGGACATCTGCGTCAGCTGGCACCACATAATTCACAAAGATACTGCTCTGCATACTGCTTTGGTGAGTAGCACTTGGGATCTTAAAAGCTTACAAACTGCCATCTGAGATAAAATTATTGATCTCTTCCCTTCCGGAGCAAAGGAGCTTGAAGAAAACCAAAGACTTAAGGGAGTAATTATTCCTAAGGGCTAGTGGACTGTATGACCACAGCCTGCACGACCTGAGACCACAACTAGATGGTGCCTGACTGCTCTGGCTGGGATCATAACAGAGAGTCCCAGGAGGTGTGGGAGAAAAATGTAAAACTGAAAATCAAATGGACATACCCAGAAAAGCCAAGATTCAGACAGACTGGAGGAGCCCCTGAGACTGTGGCCCTGTGACATCCTTCTGACCCGAAACTGAAGCCATGCCCAGAAGACTACCTTTTAACCAAGTAATAGGCCTGTAAAATAAGCAGTAGCACTGAAGAGGAATGTGTCCCTTAGAACAATCAATTCTATGAGATCAAAAGGACAGTATTTGCCCAAAAGCAAAGATGAGAAGGGGGGCAGAGGTAGAAAATTCAGACGAAAGGAAACGGGGAACCCAGGGTGGAAATGGGAGAGTGCTGACATGGGGCGGGGACTGCATCCATTGTCATGGGACGTTGTCTGTACAAACTATCGAACAGGAAACTAATTTGCTCTTTAAACTTTCACCTAAAGCACAATGAATGAATGAATTAATGCCACTTTTCACATTTTTGAAAGTTATTTTAAGATTTGAAAAAAACTTCTTTCTCCTTTTTTGATCAAGATAATAAGCAGTATTTTCTTATTACTGGATTTTCAGAAACAAACATCAATTAGATGTTGGGATTGTTGGTTTATTTTCCTGATTGCTCATAGCTAATTTGCCAGATTTTTCAGATGATAGACAACTGGAATTAATGAAATTTTAAAAGGAACCAAATTGCTATATGCAAATACATACACATTCCTAATTATGCTAAAGCAGAAAATTAGTGTTAAACTTTGTTGTTTTTGTCAGGTGCCATCAAGTCAGCTCTGACTCATAGCGACCCTGTGTACAACAGAGTGAAACACTGCCTGGTCCTGCACCAGCCTCACAATCCTTGCTATACCTGAGCCCATCGTTGCAGCCACTGTGTCAATCCATCTCTTCGAGGGCCTTCCCCTTTTTCGCTGACCCTCCACTTTACCAAGCATCATATCCTCCAGGGAATGGTCCCTTCTGACAACATGGCCATAGTAGGTTAGTTGAAGTCTGGCCATTCTCACTTCCAAGGAGCATTCCTGCTGCACTTCTTCCAGGACAGATTTGTTAGTTCTTCTGGCAGGCCATGGTACTTTCAGTATTCTTCGCCAACACCCTCAAAAGCATCCAACTCTTCTTCAGTCTTCCTTATTCATTGTGCAGCTTTCACATGCATATAAGGTGATTGAAAACACCATGGCTTGAGTTGGACACACCTTAGTCTTCAGAGACATCTTTGCTCTTCAGCACTTGAAAGAGGTCTTTTGCAGCAGATTTGCCCAGTGCAATATGTCATCTAATTTCTTGACTGCTGCTTCCATTGGTGTTGATTGTGGAACCAAGTAATAGGAAATTTTTGATTACTTCAATCTTTTCCCCGTTTATTGTGATGCTGCTTATTGATTCAGTTGTGAGGATTTTTGTTTTCTTTATGTTGAGGTGTAATCCATACTGCATATTGTAGTCTTTAATCTTCATCAGTAAGTGCTTCAAGTCATCTTCACTTTCAGCAAGCAAGGTTGTGTTATCTGCATATCATGGTTGTTAATGGTCTTCCTCCAATCCTGATGCCACATTCTTCTTCATATAGACCAGCTTCTCAGATTATTTCCTCAGCATACGGATTGAATAAGTATGGTGAGAGGACACAACCCTGATGCCCTCCCTTCGTGATTTTAAACCATGCAGTAAACTTTATAAAGAAATAATAGGATTATTTAATATTAATATATATTGTGTAATTATATACTTCATCTCCCCTGCTTTGGTCATGTTGTCAGAAGGGCCCATTCCCTGGAGAAGGATATCATGCTTGGTAAACTAGAGGGTCAGAGGAAAAGGGGGACACCCTGAACCGAATGGATGGACACGGTGGCTGCAGCAGAGAGGCTCAAGCATAGGAAGGGTTGTGAAGATCATGCAGGACGGGGAGGGTTTGTTCTGTTCTACATGGGGTGGACATTGGTTGGATTCTGTGGCACCTACAAACAGCAGTGTGTGTGAGAGAGAGAGAGAGAGAGAGAGAGAGAGAGAGAGAGGGAGAGAGAGAGAGAGAGAGAGGGAGAGAGGGAGAGGGAATGAAGTTAATTATTCTGGCCGTAGCAAGCCTTCTCCATTACTAACAAAAATTAAACCCAAAAACTTTGAGTTCAAATATTGCTTGAAAAGTTTTTTCTTTCTTTTTTAAATTGTTTTGGTAAAATACATAACAAAACTTTCGTCATTTTAACCATTTTGAGATGCATAATTCAGTGACATAAATTATATTCACCACGTTGTACAGCCATCACCATTATCTATTTCCGAAAGTTTCTCATCACTCCAGAGAAATTTAGTACCTCTTACCAGGACCCCAGCCTGTAATAACTACTAATAAACTATTCGCCTTTTCTGGACATTCCCTCTTAGGGGATCATACATTATTTGTCTTTTTGTGTCTGACTGACTTCACTTCACATAGTGTTGTCAGGATTCATGCATGTTATAGGGCATGGATCATAACTGAGTTTCTGTCTGTGGCAGAGTGATAGTCACTGGGTGTATGTACTGGAAAAGTTCATATGGGAAAGCACATCTTTTTCACCTGGTTGAACCGTTAACTTTTCAGATTTAAGTAGTGAGTTAAGACAATCCTGAATTGGCTCTAGACCTTGGATTAGTCACTTAATTTCAAAATCTCATATATCAAAATTGGAGGATTAATTCTAAATGATTATGAAAATTCTATTCAGAATTTTGATTTATATTTTTAGGTTTGTGTTCCGGAAAGTACGAAGCTTGATAGGTGGGAATATTCGGCTTCTCTTGTGTGGAGGTGCTCCACTTTCTGCAACCACACAGCGATTCATGAACATCTGCTTTTGCTGTTCTGTGGGGCAAGGGTACGGCCTCACCGAGTCTGCTGGGGCTGGAACGATTACGGAAGGTTAGTGTTGCCCCCAAACAGCATGTCTGGCAGAGTCTGGGCTGCAACTCCGGGTACTTTTTGTAGGGGTTAGTCTCTAATACACAGAAGAAGAGTAGCTAAGGTGTTTGCACGCCATATTTATGGTAAATTTTAGGTACTAGGCTTATCAGCATCAATTTTAGAATGTATTAGGTACATCCATGGTGGCATTTGACTGCTAACCAGAAGGCTGGAGGTTCAAACCCACTAGCCACTCCTCGGAAGGAAGATTGGGCGATCTACTTCCATAGTGATATTGCCTTGGAAACCCAAGGAGGGGTTGCTGTGAGTCGGATCCGACTCAATGGCAGTGAGTTTGGTTTGTTTTGGTTAGGTGCATCTATTATCATTGGCCATATTGATTCATGTAGAGGAATTTTTCTTGCTAAACTGTGTTATGTGGTATTAAAAATGACTAGCAGTCTGGAAAGGAAGTTTTAGTAACACATTGGCTATATTGTATACTTTTTTTTTCATATTAGTTACTGAATTTCTTTTTATGTAGAAAAACATACATGTTTACTTGGTATGTGTGTTAAGGTTTAAATTTGGGAAGGTTCATGGGAGGGAGGAGTCTGTGTCAGTGTAGGAGGAAACTAGATTCAGATCCAGAAGACACAATTACTGAATTGATCGTGGTGATAGAGGTTCAGTAGATGATCTGTCACCGCATCACGTGCCCTTTTTATGGGAGAAAGTTTGCTTGCCAGGACTGGAGAAAGTGCTGCTGCTCCTAATTTGTGTTTTCTAGATGTGGACAGATGCTAACCCTCTGACCCCTCCCTTGCTCGGTTCTCCTCGAGGGCGTCAGTGTACCGTTCTTAGGCCAGGCGGTTCTTGTGTGCTTTCTTTATTTCCCTTTTTCCAGTCACGCGTTGTATGTTTTTGTAAGCTACTTCTAAATCGTATTTTGTAGAGAAGAACATACATACATGGTTCCTTTCTTCTGAGGAACCTTACTTTCCTCTGTTTAAAAAATTTTAAAAATTTGAATTGTGATTAATGTGTGATTGATCAGTTTCCATTTATCTCAGAAATAAGATAGTCTCAGAAGTACTAGATACCAGCCTTTTACTTTTGATCTTTGAATCTTCTTTGGAAGGGAAATAATGCATTAGTAATTCATAATAGACGTGGGTTCTTTTCCCACTTCCTTGGGAGTTAAAACTCTTAATCTCGGCCCTGATCTTATGTGTGAATGAAGCCGGGTGTGGAGGCGGAAGCTGCCCTGGCCATTGTGTGAAGTAGTGGTACCTGGGGAAAGACTATACTGCAGAGCTGTCAGGCCTAATAAGAAAGTGGAACAGGTGTAGCCCAACGTGCCCATTACCGTTTAAGATGGGAGTTACAGACTCACGAACCAGACGGCTACGTAAATGGGTGAAGTGGGCCCGATGGAAGAACACTTGAGGCACCTGGAGCCGGCAGGCCCCCAGAGTGGGGCGCCATTGCTGTGCAGGAAACGAAGGCCTGTCGTGGCTGGTGATGCCAAATTTACATGTGAAATTTTTTTAAATGGCAATAACTAATTCAGGTTTTTTTTAAAAGCTCCTGCTTATGGGCCAGGGAGACAGCTGAGGGGCAGGAGTGCATGGGAGGGAAGGACACAGGGAAGAAGTGACTGTGGGGAAGAAGTGGGGGGGGGGCTGTTGCACTGTGGGAGATTATAGTCAATGTCATGAGACAAAGTGTATGTGAACTGCTGTGTGGAAGATGAATTTGCTCTGTAAACTTTCACCCAAATCACAATAAAATTGAAAAACAAAAAACTCCGTGAGGACCACATACTGTCCATACCAATCACATAGCCTCTTCCCCAGTTTGTGGGTTCTACTTCTAAGGATTCTCTGGGGATATTTAAGCTTTGGGGTAAATCATCATTCTAGGTACTTTAGAACACAAAGGAATTTATTAACTACTGCTTTCAAGTACTTCTTTCTCGCTTGTGTCTTAGTGTGGGACTTCAACACCGGCAGAGTGGGAGCGCCATTAGTTTGCTGTGAAATCAAACTGAAGAACTGGGAGGAAGGTAATAACTGATTTTAACCGTAGGCCTCTGCGCAGCCAGAGCTCTCATTTAACCCTCAGGCACCGCTTTGCGTTGTATTAGACTCAACAATTAGAATTGGGCTTTGCTTCCTTATCTTGCTTTTTAGTATATAAAACCATCCACAGGGGCTCATTCTTATCCTGGATGATGGAGATGTTTTCTCTGGTTCTGCATGAATGCATCTGTTTTGCTTGTTTCAAAGATGGTTTTAAAGAATTAACATTTTCGTTCTATTACATACATGCAACTAAGAAAAACAGAAAAAACAAAATGTGCTCAATGATGTCACCACATTATTTTTCTAGAAGCAAAATCATAAAATTTATTCTGTGAAACTCTGGGGATTTTTACATGTTTTCTTTGTCCTGAGAATTTCAACCCAGAAATATCAGAAGGAAATTGACTGAAATCCATAAAAGCCTATTGCTTTAAAAACAAACAACAACAACAAAACCAACTCGTTTGATCCTATTCAACACATTTTAGCTTTGAGTCCTTTTGAAATTATTTGTAAGGAATACTTCTTCTAAATACATAGGAATTTGATTTCATACAGAGATATGCTCTGCTGTTTACATGCATGAATTAATACTTGTATCAGTTAGAATCTTAAAAAAAAATTTAATTGTAATTTTATAATTAGTTTACATTATAGTTGGGGGAAGAGTCCTGGTGGTGGCACAGTGGTTAAAAGTGTTTGGCTGCTAACTCAGAGGCCGACGGTTCAAACCCTCCAGCTGCTCCATGGAAGAAAGATGTGGCAGTCTGCTTCCATAAGGAGTAGAGCCATGGCAACCCCATGGGATGGTTCTGCTCTGTCCTGTAGGGTCACTATGAGTTGAAGTCAACTCAACAGCAGTGAATTTTTATAGATGGGGGATGTTGGATTTTTTTAGTGTAAGTTTTTTTCTTGGAATAATGCTTTTTATGCTTACTTTTACGTGATTGAATTTTTTTCTTAGTTTTTTGTTGGTAAGTTTTGTCCATCCAGCGTGTCTGCCTTGTTTCCTTTGGGCAGCTCAAATTTGATTAAAATGAGATGTTCCTCTGTAGAAAGTAATAGCTTCAAATTTTCACATGTTGTATTAGAGGGATGAAAATATTGAATTGACTCTAAATTATTTTATGTGTATTAGGTGGATACTTTAATACTGATAAACCACACCCAAGGGGGGAAATTCTTATTGGTGGCCAAAATGTGACAATGGGATACTATAAAAATGAAGCAAAAACAAAAGCTGATTTCTTTGAAGATGAAAATGGACAGAGGTGGCTCTGCACTGGAGATATTGGAGAGTTTGACCCTGATGGTTGTTTAAAGATTATCGGTGAGCCAGCTAATACTGTTCGAATGTAAATGTTTCTGAAATGGTTTTTATAAAATAGATACTGTGTGTACACAGAAGCTGTTTAAATCTATATGTAATGTTGGTGTGGACTGTGCATCATTCCTGGTGATAGCAGTTTTTATTTTTTATTTTAAAAGCTTATTTTACGTTCAATGTTACGTGTACATTTAGTTTCACTCCTCATTTACCGTGTCCAACCCTAACCCAGTCTCCTCCCTTCCCTACCCTGTAACCCTTCCCCGTGCCCCTCATATTTATGCACTCCTGTTTGTCTTGCATTTCCTCGACCTGAATGTTGGTCCTCTGGTGCGCCATGGTCTATTGCTCTAAGGGATGTATTACTGTAGAGTGTGTGGGTGTGTCATCCTGGGTTGAGTGGTCTGTGTATACATCTTGTTAACTATTGGGCTGAGAGCCAGCCCCTGGGGGTGAGTTTTACTCCAGGCACAGAATGTATTCTAGGGCCCTAGTATTGGGAGTCTCACTAGACTCCATCCGACCAGTAATTCTGGTCATTATTGAGTTTTTGGATTTTGTTCCATGTTTTCTTTTCCCCCCCTCTATCCAGGATCTCCAGATTTGATTTTTTCCTGAGTGGTTGGCATTGGTAGCTGGGCACCATCTAGTTGTTCTTCTGGTCTCGGGGGTCATCGTGTCCTAGGGCTGATTGCTTCCAAATGCCCTTTTTTTTTGTGTGTGTTTTTCTTCGCTTCTGATGCTAGGAAACCATTAGCTGCATCTTAGAGGGCTGCTTGAAAGCGTTCAAGACCCTAGTTGCTACTCACCAATGTAGGATGTGGAACAAGGCTTTTATGTATTTTGTTGTGCCAATTGAGTCTGGTGTCCCCCAGTATTATGGTCCTGAGCCAGTAGATCTTAGAGCAATTTTTAATAGGGATTGTGTGACATTTATAGGCACTCTGGTGGCAGAGTGGTTAAAGCATTCTGCTGCTAACCAAAAGATCAGCAGTTTGAACACACCAGTTGCTCCATGGAATAAAGATGATGTAGTCTGCTTCTGTAAAGATTTACAGCCTTGTAACCCTATGGGGCAGTTTTATTCTGTCCTGTAGGGTTGCTGTGAGTCAGAGTTGACTCGATGGCAGTGGATTTGGTTTGGTTTGGGTATAACATTTATAGGGCTTCACCATATTATAGGGTTTCAGAAATGGTTCAGCAGCACTGGTGTATTTAATTACTGTTTGTTGTTGTTAGGTGCCGTTGAGTCGGTTTCTTAGAGAGTCACATTCTTTGCTGCCTGTGGAGGGTGTATGCCTGTTGTGCAGTGACCTGGCTATAGGGGAGAGGACTGCGAACCTCCTGGCAGTTCAAGCATTGTGACCCATGGAGGGCAAAGAATCCACCCTCTGCTTCTCTTCTGGGTTCTTCTCTCAGTTACAGACATTTCAGTCCCTCATGCTAATGAGGGACCTGAGTGAGAGGAGATGAGAGAGACGGCTCTTCCGTCAGCTCCCCCATATCTCCTCCGCATCCTCCTGATTGATTGTACCAAGTGCATCTCAGAGTCATCTTTGTTTCCCTGCCTGTTCTTCTTCCTGTGATTGTAGGCCCGGCCTTCACCTCCGTTGCCTGGATTATTGCAGTAAATTTCCCTGTTGCCATGCTTGCCCCCTTTGGACCCACCTGCTCATTGCCACATGTGCGTACTTCACTGATCTCACCAGACCGCTTTGTAGCTGAAACCCCTTTTAGTGGCTCCTGGAGGCCCAGTGCAGAGTGCCTCCATGATGAGTCCCTTGCTCACCTCTCGCTCCCCTTCCCGCTGTTTGCCTGCCTTCTTCACACTTTCCGTATTTTAAGCTGACATACTTCTGGCCTTTGCAGTGTGGCTCCATTTGGCTATCTCTCATCCTTCTTGGGCTCAGGCCTCCCTTTCAGGATGTCTTTTGGGATCCACACCTTGGAGAGTCTTAACCCTTAGTGCTATTGAAGTATGTTTGTGCCTCAAGCAGCTCTTCACATAGAACATGAGCTTTCACGTGGCCCTGAGTATTTTATTCACCTGCCTGGTATGGTAATGCATATTCAGCAGACATACCTGAAGCCCTGTTTAAACAGAAGCAGTTGCTTTTCTTTCAAAAGAATGTATTGGATCGTATGAAAATTAGAGGCTACTTTTATTGTGTATGTTTAATTTTATAAACCATTATCATTTAATTGACAACAAATTACTTAGGGAATGGCCAGTATTTATATGTATTAAAGGTATGATTACTGTTATTTGTTCTCCTGTGTCCCCCTTTCCCTGCTTTTGTTTGTTTTGCACAGATCGTAAGAAGGACCTTGTGAAACTTCAGGCAGGAGAGTATGTTTCTCTTGGGAAAGTAGAAGCAGCTTTGAAGAACCTCCCACTTGTAGATAATATCTGTGCATATGCAAACAGGTAAGGAAGTGGGGTTCACGCTGCTTATACTGATGTGTGTGGTATGTTATCGGTATTTCGTGCCCCTGTGGGCCTTGTTTAAGGAGTTTGGTGGTGTGGTGCCTGAGACATTTGACTACTAACCAGAAAGTTGTCAGTTCAAACCCACCAGCGACTCTGTGGAAGGCAGACTGGGCAATCTGCTTCCATAAAGATTTACTGCCTCGGAAACCCAAAGGGGATTGCTATGAGTCGGAATCAACTTATGGCAGTGAGTTTGGTTTTCGGTGGGCCTTCTTTCAGAAGCTCTGGTGGCATGGAGCCTAAGGCTTTTGACTGCTAACCAGAAGGCTGACAGTTCAAACCCACCAGTCATTCCATGGAAGGAAGATGGGGCAATCATTTACAATCTGCTTCTGTAAATATTAACTGCCTCTGTAAATATTTACTGCCTCAGAATCCCAAAGGGGGTTGCTAAGAATTGGAATCAACTCAGTGGCAGTGAGTTTGGTTTTTTTTTCCCCTGTGGGCTTCTTTAAGAAGCTCTGGTGACGCAGTGGTTAAAGCAGTCGGCTGTTAAGCAGAAAGTCAGCAGTGTGAGCCCACCAGTTGGCCTGTGGAAGAAGGATGAGGAAGACAGTCTGTGTCCACCCTGTCGGGTCACGGGGGGTCAGCACTGACTCAGTGGCAGTGGTTTAGGGGTCGGTTTTGATTACAGGCCTTCTTCTTTAGTAAATCGTCCCTAGAACTCTTGTTTTGTACTGCCTCCTCCTCCTCGTCGGCCATTAGCTGAGTTCGTTCCTTGTGATGCTTCCCTCTACATCTTCCTCTGTGGCCCTGTTTCCTGCATTACACCTCACCACGTGTCCTATGTGATAGGGATGTAACAGAAACAAAACAAAACAAAACAAAAAGTCCTGTCTTCTTTCCTGCTGCCTCTGTCTACACAGGGAAGCATCACAGACCCAGCCAGACAAAAGCACAGTTAACAAGGCAGTTGGGGAAGGGGTGTCAGGAGCGGCAGCAGCACCCCCACCCCCACCACGTTCTTCCTCACCTGTGCTAACTTGAGCCCGCTTAGGACCCTGGTCAGGCCTGGGATCTCCCGCCTGTGGCTTAACACACAGCATCCCTTGCCATGGTAACATAGAGTAGCTTAGAAGGAGAGTTTCGATCAAAATCCCAGAAATTCATTTTTTGGGGAATGTGTTGGAATTTCAGATTGGAACTCTGATTACATTTTTTCTATAACAGTATTGTCCATAGTTCCTTAAGTTCCTGTTTTAATGATTAGATGTCTTGTAGGTTAGCCTAAGAACCTGACAACAACAGTTGACATAATTATTACGGGATCATAAAGTCTGGTATCAGAAGATCAGTTTAGAAAGACACTTAGGGGTGCGGCCCAAGGTAAAGATGAACTGCTGCATTGATTGATGAGGCGTCTGCCCTTTGATTAACCATTTCCTCTTTTCTTTAGTGAGTTTGAGCACCAGATTTTCCTTATGTGATACTACCCCAAATTCTACCTCCCCTTCTCTCCAGGACCCTTTTTTCTGCCCTTCAGAAAAGTCTGTGTTTTCAGTGAGAATACTCAGAATTATTCTCTCAGCACAGCTTTTCATGATAGCAAAAGAAAAAATGAATAATCATGCTATTTTGATTTGCTGCCAAATTTCTTGACATAGTTTCTAGTTTGTACATAGATATTATTTTTGTTTAAGGCATTGCCATATACTACTGATTTTTTTCAAAGATGAATTTTCTAATATTTGTGTAATTTTCTTTTAAAAAATATGTGTATGGCACTATTCATAATAGTTCTGCATAGTTGAAATTTGTATCATGAACTAAAAGATTGAGGTTTTTTTTTTTTAGCAGTGAAATCTTTCCAAAAAATTAGAACATACGAATCAAACAATAAAGGTGACTTTTACATGAACTAAATATTAGCCACTAAACATACCACATGGATGTTTTAAAATAGTAAGAATTAAATTTACCAAGAAATCTGTAAAACAGATAGCCCCTTTACTGTATCGTGCCTTCCCCTTCACCCCAGTTAATACATGCCTCCCTCTAGTTCGTGGTTTACCCTCCTTTTCCCTCCCACTCTTGGTAACCATCAAAGGATATTTCTTTTTGTGTGAAAACCTTTTCTTGACTTTTTACAGTGTGATCTCATCCAGTATTTGTCCTTTTGTGATCGACTAATTTTACTCAGCATAATGTCCTCTAGGTTCATCCATATTGTGAGGTGTTTCACAGATCCATTGCTGTTCTTTGAAGTTGTATAGTACCCCATTGTGTGTATGTACTGTAGTTGCTTATCCACTCATCTGTTGATGGGCACCTCGGGGTTTCTGTCTTTCTGCTGCGGTGAGTCGTGCTGCGATGAACCTGAGTGTGCGTCTCTGTGTCCTGGCTCACTTCTCTGGGGTTACTTACTAAATGTCCATCAGTCAGGCAGTTACACTTCATCACCATGGTGTGCTATTCAGTTCCTTAGCTGAGTTACCTTTTAACTATTTCAGTTATCATTCCTATGTCATTGGATTTGTTGTGCCAAATCAGAAGGAACTAACGGAACTAGCTCAGAAGAAAGGACTTAAAGGAACTTGGGAAGAATTGTGTAACAGTTGTGAAATGGAAAATGAGGTACTTAAAGTGCTTTCTGAAGCTGCTATTTCAGGTGAGTACTTGGTTAAACTGATTTTAAAAACTGAGGTGAGAAGCAGTAGTACTTTTAAATATATTCAACCTGTTTTGTTACAAGGTTATTATTACATGTTGTTATTTGCTGTCGAGTCAGACTCGACTCATAGTGACCCCTCCTTTGGTTTCCAAGGCGGTATCACTATGGAAGTAGATTGCTCAACCTTCCTTCTGAGGAGTGGCTGGTGGGTTTGAACCGCCAGCCTTCTGGTTAGCAGTCAAGTGCCTTAGGTACTGTACTGCCAGAGCTCCCAGGTTATACTGTGTAGCTTATATTATTTTCTACGTAGCAAACAATAGTATTTTCCCACTGTGAATAGATGGAAGAATATATTTCTCACGCTGCTGTTCAAATCCCTCCATATTTCACACAGATCATCCCACTGTTGTTGTTAGGTGCCATCGAGTCAGCTCCTGTAATGACCCTACATACAATAGAGCGAAACACTGCCCAGACCCGTGCCGTCCTCACAATCTTTGTTAGGCTTGAGCCCATCATTGCAGCTACTGTGTCAGTCCATCTCGTTGAGGGTCTTCCCCGTCTTTGCTGACCATCTGCTTTACCAAACATGACATCCTTCTCCAGCAAAGTAAGTGAGACGAAATCTAGCCGTTCTCAGTTCCAAGGAGCATTCTGGCTGTACTTCATCCAGGACAAATTTGTTCATTCTTCTGGCAGTCCGTGGTATTTTCAATATTCTTTGTCAACACCATAATTCAAAGGCTCTTCCTTGGTCTTCGTTATTCTTTGTCCAGCTTTCACATGCATATGAAGTGTTTGAAAATACATGGCTTGGGTTAGGCACACCTTGATCTTCAAAGTGACATTTTTGCTTCGTAACACTTTAAAAAGGTCCTTTGCAGCAGATTTTCCCAGTACAATATGATGTCTCATTTCCTGACTGCTGTTTCCATAGGTGTTGACTGTGGATCCAAGCAAAATGAAATCCCTGACAACTTCAGTCCTTTCTCTGTTTATCATGATGTTGCTTATTGGTCCAGTTTTGAGGATTTTCATTTTCTTTATGTTGAGGTGTAACCCGTACTGTAGAATGTAGTCTTTTAGCTTTCCTCAGTAAGTGCTTCAAGTTACCTTCACTTTCAGCAAGTCAGGTTGTGTTGTCTGCAATACACAGGTTGTTAGTGGTTCTTCCTTCAATCCTGGCACTCTGTTCTTCATATAGTCCAGCCTCTTGGATTATTTGCTCAATACAGAGATTAAATAAGTATGGTGAAAGGATACAACCCTGACATCCATCCTTCCTGATTTTAAACCATGCAGTATCCCCTTGTTTTCTTTGAATGACAGCCTCTTGGTCTATGTACAGGTTCCTCATGAGCATAATGAAGTGTTCTGAGTTCCCATTCTTTGCAGTGTTACCTGTATTTGTTATGTATGATCCACACAGTCAGATGCCTTTGCTGCATAGTCAATAAAACACACGTAAGTTTCTTTCTGGTATTCTTTGCTTTCGGCCAAGATCCATCTGGCACCAGCGATGATAATCCTCGCACTACATTCTCTTCTGAGTCGGGCTTGAATTTCTGGCAGTTTCCTGTTGAAGTACTGCTGCAACTGTTTTTGAATTATCTTTAGGAAAATGTTACTTGCGTGTGATATCAGTGATACGGTTCAATAATTTCCACGTTCTGTTTGATCACCTTCTTTGGAATGGGCTCAAACAGCAATCTCTTCCAGTCAGTTGACCAGGTCGCTGTCTTCTAGATTTCCTGGCATGGAACAGTGGGCTTCCAGTGTTGTATCCATTTCTTGAAACATTTCAATTGCTATTTCATCAGTTCTTAGATCCTTGTGTTTCTGGGTTGTGTTTCCCAATACCTTCAGTGTAGCGTGGGTTTCTTCCTCAGAACCACCAGTCCTTGATGGTATACCACCTCCTGAGATGCTGGAATGTCAGTTCTTTCTGGTGCAGTGATTCTGTGTGTCCCTTCCATCTTCCCTTGATGCCTCGTGCATCATTTGGTTTTTGCCTGTAGAGCCCTCAGTGCTGCGACTCGAGGCTTGAACTTTCCCTTCAGTTCTTTCAGTCTGAGACATGTCAGGCACGTGCTTCCCTTTCGGTTTTCTGATCCTAGGCCCTTGTACATTTCATTGTAATATTTTACTTCACTTTCTTGTGCTGTCCTTTGAAATCTTTTGTTTGGCTCTTTTATATTCATTTGCTTTAGCTCCTTTACCTTCATGAGCAAGTTTCAGAGTCTCTTCTGACATCCATTTTGGGCTTTTCTTCCTTTCCTGTCTTTTTAATGACCTTTTGCTTTCTTCATGGATGATGTCTTTGCTTATATTCCGCTACTCTTCTTATCTTTGGTGCAACAAATTTATTCTTCAAATGGTCTCTAAATTCAGGTGGGATATACTCAAGGTCTGACATTGGCTCTTGTAGGGTTTCAATTTTCTTCAGCTTCATTTTGAACTTGCATATGAGCAGTTGCTGGTCTGTTCTGCAGTCTGCCTCTGGCCTTGCTCTGACTGATGATACCAAGCTTCTCAGTCATCTTTTTCCACAGATGTAGTTGATTTGCAGCACTCTGTTCCCACATAGCTTCCAATGCAAATTCTGGTTCACTGACAGGATTCTCTCTAGACTTTATTACTTTCATGCTTTTTGTAATACAATTAAAGAAAGCAAATAGGTATATCTTACAAAGTAAGGGTCCCTGTCCTTCCTCCCTGACCCTAGCCCCTGGAGTTGGGTTGGGTGGTATCTGTCTAATCCTGTGCATACACATCTAGCTGCATATGTTTATCCGACCTGTGCTGCAACCTGCCTTTTTTTAAAAAAAGCAAAACTTACATTGAGGAGCTCTGGGGGCACTTCTACTGCTAATCAAAAGGATAGCAGTTTGAGCCCACCAGCCACTGCATGGGAGAAAGGTGAGGGAGGCATCAGCCTCCGTGCAGATGCCCAGCTTGGGAAGCCCCACGGGGCAGCTCTGCTCTCTGCTGCGGGTTGTCCCGAGTCAGCATTGACTCGGCAGCAGGGGCTGTGGCTTGGTTTTTAACATTGTCTTGCAGAATATCTTTCCACTCTCACACATACAGATTTAACTCATTTTTAATTATATTTATTATATATTATGTATGTTTAAATATATAATATAATTATATTCCATTTTGTGCCTCTGTAATTCATTCTCTTCTTGATGGCCATGTAGTTTTTGTGTACAGTTTTTGCCATTGTAATCCTCACTCCTACCCATTATTTAGTGGTAGGATTTCTGAGGGATAGATTGATTACAGGTGTGATTCCTGGACCCTTGATTGTGTGTTTGGATGGGTACTCAAAGACTGAGGAAGTTAAACTGTTTATTTGCTCAAAATTTTAATTGCACATTTTTAATGCCTTTGCTTTTTATTCCCCCCCCGCCCCCATCATCTTAGCAAGTCTGGAAAAGTTTGAGATTCCAGTGAAAATTCGTCTGAGCCCTGAACCGTGGACCCCTGAAACTGGTCTAGTGACAGATGCCTTCAAGCTGAAGCGCAAAGAGCTTAAAACGCACTACCAGGCGGACATCGAGCGAATGTATGGAAGGAAATGAGTCTCTTCCGGCGTTGGTTTGCTACAGTGAGCTGAGATCAAATAGGAAAATACTTGAACCGCACGTCTCCAGCTGTGAGGCAGACCCCGTTCCTCATAGTCCACCTCAACTGTTACTGCTCATGACATCCCCGTTTTTAACTGACAGGATTAGTAAAATATTAAGACAGCAAACTTGTGTCTGTCTCTTCTTTCCTTGCCCCCCCTCTGCTCCACTCCTACCTGTGACTACTCGTCAGTGTGAGGATTTTCCTGAATCTCTGAGGAAGCAGTGATTTTAAAACCTCAAGTTTTTAAACATGATTTATATGTTATGTATAATGTTCAGTTTGTAACTTTTTAAAGTTTGGATGTATAGAGGGATAAATAGGAAATAAAAGAATTGGTTATTGGGGGCTTTTTTACTTACAGTATTTAAAACTACAAGGGTATTGATGTGAAATTATGTAAATTACAAATGCTTGTGAATCAAATCATTGTTGAACAGAAGATTTGTTGCTGTGTAATTATTGTCTTGTATGCATTTGAGAGAAATAAATATACCCATGCTTATGTTTTAAGACTTTGAGACCTTGTGACTGGATGCCTGACAGTGTCTTCTTTATATATTTATTGTTTATTGGGGTGGAACCTGGTTCAGTTCTGCATGTAATCAAATGGTAGCAGAGAGCCCTGGTGTAGTAGTCAAGGAGCTCCTGCGGCCAGTGAGTGCCAGATGATGCTTTCTGGTAGCTTTCCCAGCCGGGTGCAGCCTTTTGAGCTTTGGAAGCTTGGAAAATACCTGGCTTGACCGGATTCCATCGTGAAGGGAGAATTTCAAACACAAAGGATAGAAAGTGATGTATATTTCATTTGACCTTGTACAATTGAGTTATTTGTATTCATAACATGTTAATTATGGAAAGTTATTTCTGATTCTCTTACTGTACCTTTTGTCTATACTGTTTCATCATATATCTCATTTCAGAATTTGAATATTTTTTCTTTTTGATAGTTTGCATTGAGGGTGTGTGTGTGTATGTGTGTGTGTGCGTGTGTAGCTTATTGAAAAAATCACCTTTTTCCTTCCTTAACCTTTCTACATCAGAAAATGAAATGATTTGGAAGGCTTTTGATAATAGCATTCTCGCTGAGATGCCTGATAAGTTAATTAATCCGATCATGAGGTTAGTTCAGATTTAATTTAAGTATTTTTCTGTCAGGATAGAAATTTGCCGTTGTGGTAGAATGTCACTCAAGTGATCGGCTTTCCATGCACACTGCTTGTCTGTTGTTACTGAAGGGTCGTCAAGAGTAATATTGCACCAACTAAGACGTGTTCAAATAAAGACTTCAAAGTCATAGTTATACCCCTTTTTTCTTGTCACACTAGTTGTTTTCAGGATTGGCATCAAATGACCAGAAAAAAAAAAAAAAAGGTAAGAGATGAACAGAGATCTTGTGTAAGATAATAGGAGTGTGGAGAGGATGCAGGTAGGGAGTTGTCCCTTAAGCACATTTTTTACCATGTTTGAATGCTTTTTGTCATTTAACTTTTAATAAAGTTTGGGGAAACTACCAAAGAAATAAGTAAAAACAAAAATGAAATTCCTTTTTCTACATCAGGATGATGATCTCTGAAAGAATTAACATCAGGGTGCGCGGAGAGACTGCTCCTGATGTGTTAACCTTTTGAATAATTTGCTTCAAAAGAGTTTTTAAAGGTTATATTTACAAAAGAACTTGATGCGTACGAGGAGATACCGCTGGCTGCTCCCGTAGAGTGGCAGGTGAGTGTGCGGTTCACTGATGCACAGAAAACGGTCGTTTCAGAAACAGCCAGCAAGGCTGGAGTCATGTGTATCTAGACCTGTTGCTCTCGTATAGATAAAGACTGTAAATCTTTCCAGTCCTCCCACTCCTTCCTGATATATAAGTCAAACGCCTTCTGAGTCATTTGAGGAATTGTTTTATTCTCCCCTTTCTCAGGAATACATTAATAATGAGTAAGATAAAAATGCGGCAGCATTAATCAGAGACTTAGCAGGAACTGATGTAGAACCCGAAGTCGGCCTGGTGTTTCTTGCCGTCCCTCCTCTGCGGTTCTTAGAGAAAGCACCAGTGTGAGGCTGGCTGCACGCCAGCCCCCGATGTGAGTCACCACCCCCGCGGAGCTGTGCCCCCGCCCACTGACGTACCCCCGCCCACTGACGTAGGGCAGCTCCACAGCTTCCTGCCTTCCCCAGTGGCACGCATGCAGTTTTCGTGCAGCGTGATGGGCGGCTGGTGGAGCAGGGGGCCGTATTTTCACAGGTAGGCTGATAGGCTGAGGAATGCAGACTCGCCCATGGCAAGACGCCCGTGGTCACTGTGGGCCATTGATGACAAAACAGTTCTGATTCCACATACATGAACAAACGCCAGTCTTGGGAGTGCAGTACTGCTTCCAAGAATCATTTTTGAATTTTATGATTGGTGGGTCCCTTTTTCCTCTCAAGTTTTTCCTGCAGACTCATGCCGTGGCGGCTGTGCTCTGTAAGACGGTCCCTTGCTTGTGAGCTCTGGTGTAATTACAGTAGTTAATAGAATTTGAATGTTATGCACATGACTTCCATTAATCCTCATGGCACTGCCAGTAAAATGTATGTTCGCACTCCCCGATCTTGGTTCAGGACGGAGAGCGTCAGTGGTTCGGTGGGAGAACTCCCACCTTCCGTGTGGGAGAATTGGGTTTCAATCCTGGCCGGTGTACCTCATTCCCAGCCACCAGCTGTCTGTCAGTCGGGGCTCCCGTGTTGCTGGGATGCTCAACAGGATACAGCGGAACTTTCAGACCAAGAGTAGGGACAAAGGCCTGGCAGCCATTTTCGAAAATCAGCCAGTGAAAATGAATCACCCCAGTCACATTGCCTCTTGGACTTGAGGTCCCTGGGAGTTGGGCGGAGTGACCGCAGCTAACAACTACTGCAGAGAAGCAGCAGAGGCTTTCAGCATGAAAGGAGAGCTGGGTTGAATCCCAGCTGGTTGGAAGCACACCGCAGAGCCTGCTTTATGGCCGGATTTTCTTCTCTCCACTAATTCAGGGAACTCTGATCTCCTGGGCCTCAGACTCTCTCGGTTGATGCTGCCACAGCTCCCTCAGCCATCCTGCTGTCCCTAATGGTGCTGACCAGGAACTGCAAGCCTTTCAGCCTTCCTCGGTGCCTTGGAGCAATGGGGCTTGCCCAGTTCTGCCCGCGCAGCCCCTGCTGCCTGCTCCTGTGGGTCTGTCTCGGCCCACTGCCACTGCACCACCTGCCAAGGACAGTCAGTTGATAACTTGTGTACCTGGTACCGTGGCAGGTGATTTCCGTATGAAGAGTACGAAAACACACACTGTGTTGTGCAAACATGCAGACTGCTATAGCCTTAGAGTGGACTTTTAACTGGATTTGAGCAGGCAATTTTATTATCCTGTTCCTAAGAAGTCAGTCATTCTAGTAATTTCTAGTTTGACTTGCATATAAAAATAAGTCATTTCCCATTTAAACTTTCCAGCCAAGGGCTTTTTTTTTTTTTACTGCTTTGTTGAAGTATAATTTACATAACATAAAATCCATCCATCTTAAGTGTACAGTGATTTTTAGTAAATTTATAGAATTTCACCCCACTCCAGCTCTGGAACATTTCCATCATCCCATAAAAGATGCCTCGCCCATTTGCAGGCATTCCAGGGCTGCTCTTGCCTCTTGCCCTGGAGTCTTACACAATTTCAGAAGAAGGGAGAACATTCTGCGGTCCCTCTAGTGCCCCGTTCCCAGCTGTGGCCTCCATACCAGTAGTGGCCAGCATCACAGCAAAGAGCCTGGGAGCTGGTTCTCTTGGCCCTGGGTGGCTTGGCTCCAGTGAGCCTTAGACACTGGCAGGCTCTTACTGTGACTTCATTCAGAGCCTCCCGCTGTGGGGAATCCTTTGGGGGACCACCTCGCTAGCCAGATCCCGACCCAGCCTTTCTGTAGAGTCCTTTTGCCTCGATGGGGAGATTCTGGCATAGGGCGAGGGCTGATGTGTGCTGAGCCCCCCACCATCAGTCTTTCTGGGCCCAAGGTTAGCCTGATAGGCCCCATGCCCATGCCTGCCAGCTCTAGGGAAATGGTGTGGTGGGCGAGGGGCTGCTCCCGTGGCTTCTCCCAATTCAGAAGGCTGCACTGTCGTCTTTCTGTGATCCGTCTTCAGGTTTCAGCGACACTGGAGTGGTTTGCCACTCCTGCCACTGAAAAATTGCTGCTGAGGGGTGAGTGCACCCCGCATCCTAGAAGACAGCTCCAAGGGCAGCAGGCCGTGCTCCTCCAGTAAACAGTTGCCACTGAGTAGACGCTGACTTCTGACCCCATGTGTGTCAGAGCAGCACTGTGCTCCACAGGGTCTTCAATGGCTGAGTTTTTGGAAGTAGATGGCCAGGCTGTTCTTCCAAAGTGCCTCTAGGTGGATGTGAACCTGCAACCTTTTGGTTAGCAGCCGAGTGCTTTAACTGTTGGCATCATCCGGGGACTTCATGGCACTTTCCTAACCCACTGCTGTGGAGTAGATTCCAACTCCTAGTGACAGAACAGAACGGCATAGGGTTTCCAAGGCTGTAATTTTTATGGGCAAACTACTTCCATAGTGATACTGCCTTGGAAACCCAAGGAGGGGTTGCTATGAGTCAGGTCCGACTCGATGGCAAATAACAACAATTTTTATGGAAAGGAGCCAGCCCAAATGGCTCAGAGGTTAAGCACTTGGCTGTTAATTGAAAGATCTGTGAGGTTTGAACCATCAGCCATTTTGCAGGAGAATTATGAGGTAGTTTGCTTCCCCAAAGATTTGCAGCCTTGGAAACCATATGGGGCAGTTCTACTGCTCTGTCCTATAGGGTTGCTGTGAGTTGGAATTGACTTCACAGCAGTGGGTTTGTTTTGGATAATCTATGGGAAGCCCTGGTGGCACGGTGCCTAAGCGCTGGGCTGCGGCGAGTTTGGCATCAAACCCACCAGTTGTTTCCATAAAGAATCAACTCAATGCCAACGGGTTAATCTTGACTGAAGCAGGCCATCACATCTTTCTTTTGTGGTGGTCTCGAACCATCAGCCTCTTGGTTAGCAACCGAGCACTTAACTACTCTGCCAGCAGGGCTCCTGCCATACCTAGGCTCCCGTAAACACCCCTTCTCGCTACCACTTTATGTCTTAGTTCACAAAAGATGCCGTATCTACCTCATATGAGTCATAGCACGTGCCAGGACCCAGCATCTGTGAACCAAGCCTTGTAAACAGGTGCTTTTTCCACATGGAGCCCTTCACTTTCTGTTTGAGTACTTCACGTGGGGTCCTAAACGTCAGTGCTGCGTGTACCCTACAAGCCTCAAGTTGAGGAAATGGAGGCTCAGAGACTCCATAGACTTGACCTAGTCATACCTCAGCTGCAAATAGGTCTGACTCCAGAAGTGGGAGGGAAAAAGGAACAAGGAAAAAAAAGAACAGCAACACGCTTTTTCTTTTCTCTCTCAGCTCATCTTTTGAAGAAAAAACAACAAAAAAAAAAAACAACAACACTTCACTGC